ATTTTTTGCAAATTTTGTCCAAAAAATCAATAAAAATTGTGCTGTTTTTGTTTTTTTTACTAAATTAGCTCTGTTTGGCGTTTTAATTATTTTTGAATCTTCTTGGTATAAAATTTAGCTCAAAAAGGGCCAAAACTTACAAAATTAGATCAAAAATTATGCTATTTTTGACACCAAAAGCAAGTTTTTAAGCTAATTTTTTTTTCGCAAAATTGTGTTAAAATGAGCCACAAAATCTCTAAACTAGATTCAAATTACCGTTCTGTTTTGGTCTGGATTCAGTTTGGGGACCTAAAAACCTACTTTTTTTCAAAAATTTTTATTTACAAACAAAAAACAACCAAGTTAGTGCACTTTTTAAAGCGTTTAACAAGTTTTTGAGTTAGAAGCTCTTTTTTTTTTATTTGAAAAAAGCCAAAAATTCCCAAAACTTAATTAGAGTCAAAATCTATTATTTCCATCTCTTTTCAAGCGAATATAAACGTTTTCGAGCCAAAACTAATTTTTTTACAAAATTCTGCTAAAATAGGTAAATTAGGGGTCAAAAACGACATTATTTTTGCTTTTTTCAAGTAAAATTTTACCCAAAAATGCCAAAAAATAAGCAAATTAAGTTGGAGGTATAGGGAGGCTAATAAAAACTTTCTTAAAATCACTTAAGTAATCCAAAAACGCAATAAAAACACAACTTTCTTTTTAAAATATCAGATATAAAATATCATCAGAAAGCATTATTACAAGACCTGGAGTTGTTTAATTAGTTCAAAAAAAAATAATAAAGAAATTTTTGAGACATGGCCCCGCCATACGGATTATTTACCTCTCACTCAACGAAAAAAATTTTTTTGTTATTTTTTAAACCTAAATTTTGATTCTAAGGTTACGTGCATGCACATAAACACATCCTTCACCAGAGCACTTCAAGAACGCACTTTTCCATAATGTTTCACCCAAAAAACGTCCATATTCTAATAAAAGTTGTTTTTGCAGGGTTTTTATTCGCCCGCATCCAGTCTAGCCAGTACAGCCACCATAAAAAGCACCAACGCAAAAGAAACTAAAGAAAAAAGAAACCGGGAAAAGCTTCTAGCAGGGCCTACAGCCGGTTCAGATTTTTCCATAGTAGGCCCCGATTTAGAAATGGATTACTATGATTACAACGTTGTCAATGCTGGGGCGGCTCCTGGGTCTTATTTGGGCATGGATCCGGCTTTTCTCGTCTGGATTCCTCCTTTGGACGAAGACGGCGAGATTCTTCCCACCGAAGAAGAACTCAAACCACGAGTCTATATAGACCCTGGAAGCAATAAAGAGTCCCCAGAAGAAGAAATGTTGCTACCCAAAAGTGAGAAAAAGATTGAAATAACACCCAATTCACCAATTTTGAAGAAAATTAATAAAACTGTGGTTACAATTCATGAGTTACCCAAAAACAAGAGATGTAGTAAGCTTCTCGACGAAATGGAGAAGGAAACAAAAGTGGAAAAGTCACCATGTCTTGATAAAAACATTTTAGAAGAGATTAAGTTTGCTGATGAAGATGATGAGGAGAAGGAATCGACTGAAAGCCAGTGCAATATTGAATTATCATATCAAGATTCGAATATTTTATCTTCCAGTTAAGACTGATCTTGTGTTAAAATATTGTTGTTATCGAAGGCATTTCAAATCAAAGCTATCTCAGGACTGGAGACTGTTGAGTTAAAATAAGTGAATAAGTTACCTATCACTAGCCCTAATCTAGTCATATTTGTAGGCTTTTAGATTGTTGTTTTGTACAATAAAACTTTCATCATGCAAGTTATTGATTTATGTGTGGGACCAGATGGGAATTTTTAACTCTTAATTATTGAGTGGAGTTAAAAATTTATCATCAAATGTTTGAAAATATGGTGAAACAAGTATCCCTTTTAGGAAATTGTAGTGGCTTGCTTTTGTGATTTTTTGTTTTAGGTAATTTGGTTTTGTACATAGTTATTTTTGTTATGAAATGTTGAAACGCTAATTTGTATAATACAAAAATTTGGGATATATGTACTTATGGCAAATAAATTTACGTATTTATATTATTTAACTCATTTTTTGAATGAAATTCCCAACTTGAGCAATTTTAGAATTAAAAAAAAATTATCACCAAAATCGTATTTTCTTTTGTTGGTCAGAAATACATTTAATTTTTTATATTTCAGCTTTAAGTTTTAAATAAAAAAATGCTGAATATTGAAAATTTTGTTTTCTTTTCAATTAAAAATAATCCTCACAGCCCAGTTTTAATTACAAATGTTAATGTTTGTTGTTCCATAGTATATTTTACCAATTTTACAAACTAGGTTTTGGTATTGATTTTTTTTAATGCGCCACCTAATGTTTGTACCTTGAAAAACCCCTACAAATTAAGAAGGGGATGATCGGTAGTGTATTTTAAATGTTAGAGAGGGCGCCTTGCTTCAGTTGAAAACATAATTTTAACGAAAAAATAACCAGACAAAAAATCTTTAAAACCAGCTTTTAGCCAATCAAAAAAAAAATGTGCAAAAAATGCAATCTTTCCAAAATACAAAATGCGATTTTTTGGAGTCTCTAAAAATGTCATTGGTTCAGTTTAAAAATTGCAAAAAATATTTTTAAATAATATTTGGTATTTATTTTTTTTTCAAAATTAAATCTAGTGACTAAAATTTGAGCAATTTTAGAATT